AGAGAGAGAGAGAGAGAGAGAGAGAGAGAGAGAGAGAGAGAGAGAGAACAAACTAGACATGGGTGAAGACAGAATGAGCCAGAGAATGAGAAGGAGTCAGAAGGTTAGGACATATTGTTAAAGTTAGTATGAGGCAAAGCTGAGCAAAAAGTCAAGAGAAAGAAGGCAAATTGATTCAATTAGCTTAGAGAGGAGACAGAACAGGAGAGTTAAACCAGCCAGCCAGAGTTCAGAAAGAACTAGAAAGAGTGAGCTTACTTAGCAGTAAGTCTCAGAGGCTGAAAACATTCTACACCTCAATAAGGTTTGTAAGGAGGCTAAAAGCTTCCAGGACTAGGCCTATGTTAACAGATGGAGGTAGTAAGTCTCCAAGATGACAATTATATCAGGTAAATACAAGCTTCTTTTACATAGTCACCTGAGACATACCTGCAGACCAGTGTAATATAAACAATCCAACACTGAGATTTTTCTTCCTAGATGATTCTAAATTGCATTAAATTGACAATTAAACCTAACACCCACATAGTTTTTCTCTCATATGGGAATCTACAAATACATACATATATACATACATACATACATACATATATACATATATACATATGTAGGTATCTTATATATATATATACATGCATATAAAATATATATATATAATATGAAAATATATTATGTATTTTATATTTATATATATATATACAATATATATATATTATATATATATATATGCATGCGAGATGGCCTAGTACGTAAGAGTGCCTGCCATTAAGCATGACAACTTGAGTTCAACTTGAGTCCAATCCCCAGATCCCAAATAAATGTTTAAGGAGTATGATGATTTGTATATGTTTAGCCTATGGGAAGTGGCACCATTAGGAGGTGTGGCCTTATTAGAGGAGGTGTGGCCTTGTCAGAGGAAGTGTGTCACTGTGGAGGCAGGGCTTTGAGGTAATAAATATCTTCAAGCTCTGCCCAATGTGAGACAGACAGTGTCTCCTTGGCTGTCTTCAAATCAAGACGTAGAACTCTCAACTCCTGCTTCAGCATCATGGCTGCCTGGATACTACCATGCTCTCTATAATGATGATAATGGACTGAATGTTGGATTCTGTAAGACAGCCCCAATTAAACATTGTCCCTTATAAGAGTTGCCTTGGTCATAGTGTCTCTTCATAGCCATAAAACCCTAAGACAGAATTTGGTACCAGGGACTGGGGTATTTCTGTGATAGGCTTGACCGTTTTTGTTTAAAGGACTGTGTATTTTGGGACTTTGGAAAGAAGTGGAATGCTTTAAGTGGAGTTTACTGGACGAGCCTAGTAGAAATATGAAAGACAGTGGTGCTGAGGGTGATTTGAACTATGCAGTCCTTGCTCTAGAGGTTTCAGAGAAGTGGAATTTTAATATGTTGCTTGGAGATTATTTGTTTTGGTGAAGAATATGGAAGTTTTTTGCCTTATCTGAAGAGTCTGCCTGAGGTTAAGGTGAAGAGATTCAAATTAATTGCATTGACAATGAAGTCTCAGTGAAGCCCAGAAGAGACTTTGTCCTCTGGTGTACACTCATAAAGATCATTTTGATCAAGTGTAACAAGCTCGGAAAGAAAAATACACATTCCAGGAAGTGGAGTGGAGCTAAATCCTGTGTTCAAAGATATTAAATGGAATTAAGGGAGTGGTGACCTCAGGCAAGATCTCACCCAGATAAGCGTATATTTGTGTTTGTGTTAGGCATTATTGTTACCTGGCTATTGATTTTATTTGGACTTTCAAAATCTAGAATGAACTACAATCCAGAAATGGAGGGCACACCTGTGATCTAAATCTTGAGGCTAGAGAATACGAGTTTTGGATCTGGATATTGACATGGGATGACAATAGCTTTTGGTCTGGATCTTGGGGCATAGTGGCTATGAAAAGCTTAGGTCCAGCCATAGTGATGCATGCCTTTAATCCCAGGAAATAGATACAGGAAGATCTCTGAGTTCAGGGCCAGCCTGGTAGACCTGCTCCTATAGTTTCAAGTAGAGAAAAGCTTAAGTCCAGGCATGGTGGATCATGCCTTCAATGCAGCACTCTGGAGTCAGGGATGCAGATCTCTGAGGTCAAAATCAGTCTATAGAGCAAGTTTTAGGAAAGCCAAGTGTGATGGTCTGTATATGCTCAACCCAGGGGGTGGCACTATTAAAAGGTGTGGCCCTGTTGGCGTAGGTATGTCACTATGGGTTTGGGCTTTAAGATCCTCATACTAGCTGCCTGGAAGCCAGTGTTCTGCTAGAAGCCTAAAGATGAAGATGTAGAACTCTCAGCATCTCCTGCACCATGCCTGCCTTGATGATGATGGACTGAACCTCTGAACCGGTAAGCCAGCCCCAATTAAATGTTGTCCTTAAAAGAGATACCTTCATGGTGTCTGTTCACAGCAGTAAAACCCTAACTAAGACACAAAGCTTAGGCAGAGAATGAATTTACTGAAAACAGAAAGCTGGTGATAATTTAATAGAACAAGGTAGGCATGTTCCAGCCCCAATAAGCAGCAGAACCAACAGCTTCAGCCATGTGGCTCTAGCCTTAGAGTCAGTAGAAGGAGTTGCTAGCTAGAACTAAGAAATTAGTAGTGATCAAGAAGAGACCAGCATTACTGAGGTGAGATTTTCTGGCAAGTGTTTTCTAAGAGCACAAAGGTGTTCCATAGATAGACATGCTGGCAGCTGGACTTAGTATTATGTTAAGATTCACCTAGGTCATACTAGTTTTAAAGGTGTGACTGGGTTATAGAAAGCAACTGAGGCTTGGTACTGTGACTTGGTACTGCCTTTCATCAAGAAAGCCCTTGGTGAAAGTGTAGGCTCTCTCAGTTGCAGTTAATGGCTCTAGACGGAAGGGGTCATGCACAGAAGTGAGGCTTGGCACCATGAAGAGAGTCTACGAGAAGCTATTGGTGAAGCCTAGTTGCAGCAGAAGAACCAGCATATTGGAGATACCAGTACATGGGATGATCACCAAGAACAGCAGCAGCAATGGAGTGGAGTCAACCAGAGCCTAGAGTGCTACAGAGGGCAGAGGTAGAGAAGTGACCCAAGCCGTTTGGAGGAGCCTAGAAGATGATGTGTGGATACCAGACTTTGGAACAAGAAACTGTGAAGCTGAAGTTGATTTCGATACCCCAAGATATTAGAGATGTCAGAGCTGTGGGATGCCTGCTGACGAAAGCTGCTAAGAAGGAGTGGAATCAGCCCAAAAGAATGAAGTTTTTTACAGTCATCAAGAATGAAAGCAGTTGGAGGTCTAAGCAGTTGGAGTGTTTGCTTTGACATTGGACATGGAGACATGGAGTTTAGAGTTTGCCCAGCTGGTTTTTGGTCTTGCTTTGGTCCAGTATTTCCTCACTGTGACATTTTGGAATGGTAATTTATAGCCTGTGCCATGATCTGTTGAAAGTATGTGATCTGCTTTTTGATTTTGATATTATAGGAGATTACAATCAAGTGGTTACATGAGTCTCAGAAGAGACTTTGGACTTTGGACTTTTAAAGATTGTTGGGACAATGGTAGACTATAGGACTTTTGAAGTTGTACTAATTATATTTTGTATTATGCTATGGTTAAGTATGGCCCTATAGGCTCATATGTTTGAGAAAGCCTATGGGGACCAAGGAGTAGAATGTGGTGGTTTGAATACGCTTGGCTTATAGGAAGTGGAACTTACTGAAGGAGGTATGACCTTGCTAGAGGAGATGTGTCTCTGTGGAGACAGGGCTTTGAGGTAATATATATGCTTAAGCTCTGCCTAGTGTGAGACAGTCTCCCCTGGTTTCCTTCAAATCAAGATGTAGAACTCTCATCTCTGTCTCCAGCATCATGTCTTTCTTGACGCTGCTAGGCTTCCTATTATGATGATGATGGACTAAACCTGTAAGCCAGCCCCAATTAAATGCTGTCCCTTATAAGACTTGCCTTGGTCATGGTGTCTCTTCACAGCAGTAAAACCCTGACTAGGACAAGGATAATTGACTCTGCAAAGTTGTCTATGTTTTCCTTCATATGAGTTGTTGTGGTCATGGTATCTCTTCACAGCAATAGGACACTGACTAAAATAAGAGATAAGAGAACACATTACAGGTTTCATTACACATGCTGTGGAACACATGTGTCCCCTACACACACCAAAAATTTAAAAAGTAAATTATAAACAATTAGGAAAAACATAGTAGTAGATAAAACCTTTGGCATAGACATCTGATGTGGTTTGTTAAATACTGAGTTATTGGATTTAGGGAGATCACTCAGTTGAAGGGCTGGCTACACAAGCCTGAGGACTTGAATTCAGAATCTCAGAACAGGATGCGGTGGAACTCCAGTGCTGAGGGAGACCTGGGTGGGAGTGCAGAGACAGCCTTCCTGATGTGGTCATCTTACTTTTTTAAAAATAATTTTGTATTTATTTAGTTTATGCATATGAGTGCTTTGTTTTCATATGTGTCTGTGCACCACATGCTTTCCTGGTACCCTCAGAGATCAGAAGAAAGCATTGGAGTTCCTGTATAGGGAACCATAGATTGTTGTGAATTTCCATATAAATGTTGGAGATTGAACCTGCGTCCTTTGCAATAGCAACAAATACTCTTAACCATGAAGCCATCTCTGTACTGATTTGATCATATTCAGGTTCAGTGAGAGACCCTTTCTCAAAAAATAAAGGTTAGTATCATTGAGGAAAGATACCCAATATCAACCTCTGCCCTCCATACACACATATGCATACCCTCTCTAACAAGTGCTTATATTACATACACATACAGACAACATACTACACACACCTAACATACAATAAAAAATAATGATTTGTTAAAATAGGCTGATTTCAAAGTGTATATTTAATGAAATTATTCCTTGGACATACATTTTAATTTCAGTTGAACTTAATATGTTAGTTTTTAATGGACTAAATTCCAGTTCAATTCAACTTTTATTATGTTTGGAGAAGTAAACTCAGGAGAACGTTAAGGGAATGAGAGACTTCGTGTGTGTGGCGGAGGGAGTACCAACACTCCCAACCCCACACATGCCCTAATCCCTGAAACCTATAATGTGATCTCTGATCTGATATCTTAGTCAATGTTCTATTGCTGTGAAGAGATACCATGATCACAACAGCTCGTATGAAGGAAAACATTTAATTGGGGCTGGCTTACAGTTTCAGAGGTTTAGTCCATTATTGTCATGACAGAAATTATGGTAGCACACAGGCAGACGTGTTGGAGTGGTAGCTGAGAGTTCTACATCAGACCCTGCAGGCAACAGGAAGAGAGAGACTCACTGGTCCTGGCTTAAGCCTTTGAAACATTAAAGGCTGCTCCATTACATATTCTTCTGAACGAGGCCACATGTCCAATTGCCTCTCCCTAAGTATTCAAATATATGAGTATGTGAGGACCATTCCTATCCAAACTATCACACCTGGTCAAAGGGCTCTGCAGATATTATCACATATAAACTGTCCAGAAGTGGGGAGACTGACTTTGATTATTTCAGTGACCTGAATGTAAAGGTCCTTAAAGGGAGAAGAGAGAAGGGCAAATGAAAGAGCTTACAGTAGATTCAAGGCTCAGCCAGAGAGATTAGAAGATGCTTTAGATAGTGGCTTTGAAGATAGATAGAGTCCAAGAGCCAAAAAATGAGGCAAGTAAAAACAAAATAAAGCCGAGCAGTGGTGGCGCACGCCTTTTAATTCCAGCACTTGGGAGGCAGAGGCAGGTGGTGGTCTCTGAGTTCGAGACCAGCCTGGTCTACAGAGTGAGTTCCAGGACAGCCAAGGCTATACAGAGAAACCCTGTCTCGAAAAACCAAAAATTAAAAAAAAATAAAATAAAACCTTTCCAGGAGCTTTTTAAAAATACACATATTTTCCAGACACATTGATTTTAGTTAAGTATGCTAGCTTCAAAATTATAAATAATTTTTTTTACTCCAGTAAATATGTGGTGATTTGTTAATGTAGCAATTGGAAGCTAACACTCTAAAGCGGTTGAATTTAACCCTGCCAAAAACCTTGCCAAATAAAGTAAAATAATAACTGTGTGGCAGTACCCCTTTCTGCCGGTGCTGGCTGCGGGGCGCTCAAGAGCCTGGACAGCGCCGGTGGGAAGAAGAGCAGGAAGGAGCCGAGGAAAGGAAGTGGTCAGCAGCCCCCCGGGTCCCAGAGAGCCCATTGTGATGCTGGCCAGGCTGGTGCTTGGGACCTCATGCAGGGCGGCCCTAGGATCAGTGGAGCCTGCTCTTGGCGGTGAGCTTGACAATCCCTGGGAAAGGAAAGGCGCTTGATTTCGGGTACCGGGGAGGGGATGACATTGACCATACTCTCTTCTTTAGACTTCTAGTTAACAATAAAAGTGAATCCTGCTGCGATCGGCACGTAGGTATGTAGTGCCCACATGCAGTATTTTGCTCCTTTTGATCCTCCAGATTCCATGCTCTCGCAGACTGGAGATATGCTAATGAACACAGCGACAGAGTAAATATGGCACCAAGGTTATTTATAATGGGAATGAATTGTGCGAGTTTGAGTGATGAAGGTCAATTCATCCCTCAAAGGAGCTAGCAAGAAGGCTCCGGAGAGGCTAAGTTACAAACCTGCCCTTTTAAACTTACTATTGGGATGATCCACCAGGGACAGAGCTCATCGCTTCAGAAAACAGACTCACCCCACCCCCACCCACCCGAATTAAACGCATTAGAACTAGGAAAGTACTCTCCCTCCTATGCGTTTCGCAAATTCGGAAGCAGAAGGCAGAGAAGTGAAAATAGTTATCAACTTAACTGGGTCTAAAGCTCAATCCATGGCATCAGTATCTACTCTGTATTTTATTTTTAAATATCGTCTCTTCTTTCGCATCAATTTTCTTCCAAAGATGCAGCCTCAGCAGTCCAGCAAGCTAGCCTCCCTTGCTCTTTTCTTAACGCCTTAAGTTACTGAAGATGGGCTTTTTCTGTGCAAATTGTTTTTTTTCACCTTCGGTAGCAATTATTTATTAGACAACCAACCTACCAGACCTTTTACAGGGGATACAACTCCCACAACTAAGAATTTCACCATTTGTGTCTGGATGGGTGAAAAGGAGACAGATACAAGTCCATAGCCCTATCCAGTACGACTATAAATGAAAACCCTCAGAGTTTGAATTGATCAGAATGCCAGAGGAGAGTGCCTTTGTGTATTTTTTAAATTTACTATAGTTTACTAACCAGTCACTTATAGAAAATTTTAGTTTCAGGTTTTTATTATAAAATTATTTGATAACCATCATGTAATCTACCCTGTGTACATAAACAACTATTTTTACTAGAATGGATACCTAGAACTAGAATTGTTAAAGGGAAGTGGCAAGCAATATGAAATAGACATGAAAGGAGAGGTCAGTGTCCTGTGTAGAAATGAAGAAGAGAGAGAGAAATTTACCTCAGAAGGAGCAGTATGATATAATTCATGACAACAGGAATAATTAATTGATTCCACTGTATATACATTAATTTTATTTAAACCCAAAGGCATGCATGCATTCATTAGCTTTCTTGGTGCTACAACATAATACCTGATAGTGTGTGTGTGTGTGTGTGTGTTCACACATATATTCTATAATACTTAGCCATTTTTTGTCTTCAGTGTAAGAACTGATGAGTGTTTCTTTGGTTGAACACCAGACCAAGTAGACAATTTATAAAAAAAGGATAGAGCATACAAAACAGCTATAGCTTGGTGCAAATAAACAGTGCACAGAAAAAGCCCATCTTCAGTAATTTAGGGTGTTAAAAAAGGAACAAGGGAGGCTAGCTTGCTGGGCCACTGTGGCTGCTTCTTTGAAAGAAAAGACAATATTTAAAAATAAAATAAAATAAAACATTTTTTAAAAAACTAAAATTTTCTATACATGACTGTTAGTAACTGGTTAGTAGTACATCCCTACTTTGGAATATATGCAATTTTAAAAAGCTAAATATGTATGTGACTCCAAATTGAGAGTCTTGGGGAAGGTGAGACTAAAGGAAAATACGTGGTTGCTTCGGGCTTTGATCACAGAGTGGAACAGCAAGAAAACCCATCTTCATACCTTCTACCCCACAAGTGAGTGAAGCTGAATCATAGGAAGTTAAAAGCCAGTCTGATGACTACAGGGAAAAGAAACTATCTTTGATCCAGTTCCAAGAGTTGTTGTTGTGGGTACATTTTCCAAGGTTGGTGAATAGTGCTAGAATCAGGTTTAAGAAAATTTATGAAATTACATAATTTTCCAGTTTCTTACCATGCCACATAGGAAAAGTGTGAATTCAGCCTGCTGTCTCTAATTTGAATAGGTTGATTCCTTTATTTATTTATTTATTTATTTATTTATTTATTTATCTATTTTGTGAACCACCATCAAATATTGGAATCAAACCCAAGTCTACTGGAAGAACAGTAAGTGCTTTTAACCACTGAGCCATCTCTCTAGTCCCCCTTTAAGAGTTCTTAATGACAATGTCTGAGAGAATCCATTTCCCCATGCCTTCACCAATACTTGGCTTTGTCTCAGTTTGGGTTTTACTACGGTGAACAGACACCATGACCAAGGCAACTCCTATAAAGGACAACATTTAATTGAGGCTGGCTTACAGGTTCAGAGGTTTAGTCCATTATCATCAAGGCAGGAGCATGGCACCATTCAGGGAGGAATGGTGCAGATGAGCTGAGAGTTCTGCATCTTGATCTGACTGCATCTGTTAGAAAACTGATGATTCTGGACTGGGCGGAGCTTCAAAGCCCACCTGACTTCCTCCAACAAGGCCACACCTCCTAATAGTGCCATTTCCTGGGGCAAGCATATTTAAACCACCACGGGCATTATCAATAATTTTAAGTTTTATAGGCCTGAAACAACAATTTAACTCTTATATTTCTTCTTGTGTTTTGGTTTTTGGTTTCTCGAGACAGAGTTTCTCTGTATAGCCATTGCTGTCCTGGAACTCACTCTGTAGACCAGGCTGGTCTCGACTCAGAGATACACCTGCCTCTGCCTCTCAAGTGCTGGAATTAAAAGGCATGTGCTACCACTGCCCAGCTAACACTTATATTTTTTTTAACTGTAGTGAGATTAGGCCACTTTTCTCATTTTACTGCTCATTTTCATTTTGCCTGTCAATTTTCTGTTCATATATTTTCCACCACTTGGGTTCTTGGCCTTATCCTGGTATTCCTATGAGCTCTATTTTAGTAATATTACTTCCAATCTTTTCATCTACCTATGCCTTCTTGCCTGCCACTTGACCTCAAATTGTTCATGGTGCATTTCTCACATTTAAGGACAAACCTTTAAGAACAAACCTTTTATGACTTTTGTCCCCAAATTTCAATTATATACACGTTATCTTAGTATCTTTAAGATATTAGCTTTATATTTGTTTAAGGAATCAAGAGCTTGGTTACAGTCTTCCAGTCGACTGAAAATTTTATTGATCACTTTTCCCACCTAATTTGAGACAGGCTTCCTTTTGACCAGAGTCCAGGTGTACCTTTGGCATGGGTACTAACAAACGTGTGAGCTCTGCTCAGCACATCACAGCGATTGGCCAGTGGCATGTCTTTAGGGTGTTTTCTTGATTAAAGACTTATGGGAGAGGAGCCAACCTGCTGTAGGTGTGCCACCTCTGCACAAGTGATCCTGGGATGTGTGAGAAAGTAGGTTGGGCAAGCCATGGAGAACTAGCAAATATGCAGCAATTGTCCATGGCCTGTGCATCAGTTTCTACCCTGGATTCCTGTCCCTTGCTTCCTTCTCTGAAGGATTTATGAAGGATTTATAAAGTAACATAAACGCTTTCTTCCCAATTTACTTTTGGTCGTGGTGTTTTATCACAGTAAAAGAGGCTCTAAGATACACAGGGTACTATCTTTAATCACAAAGGGGAATGAAGTTAAATTTTTCTTCATGCTGTCACTTGAGTTAGAGTGGTCTTAATGAATTATGGATATAAGACAATTATTAAATGTCTGATATGTTTCTTAGCTCTTGCTAACTAAAGGTCTGGAGAGAATATGGAGCTGGCAGAAGGCCAGCTGCCGAGCATTCAGAGCAAAACGACAGGCTGCATCCTGTTGTTCAGTCAGAATTGGAAAATTCCATATTGGAAAATATTTTTGTGATCTGCTCATGACACTTTTTTCTTTTTAGGGATACTCGGCAGAGCCAGGGGCCTCACATATTAGAAAGAAACACTTCACTCCTGAGCTATCTCCCCATGTAGCTTCCGACATCAAATGTATAGTTTTCCTACACCAAGCTAATTCTCTAATAATTTGAGTCTTAAATTTTAACTCTGAATAAACTACCCAGAGTTACTAAAGACACCAATAAGGACTTTCTAACAAAATGATCCCCACCAAACCCAAGTCCAGTATTCTCTTATTTCTGACCAGCTGACTATAAGTCAAAGATGCCCGAGACTCCTTTCTCAGGTTCCTTAATTTCCTAACAACTCAGATGAGCATCTTTATTAGCTTATTTTAAATTATTAAAGAGTACAGATGAATAACCTGCGGAAGAAGTAATATGTTATGTAGAGGTAGTCATGGTATAGGATCTAGAGGAGTCTTACATGTATGTGTTTTCATTTTCCTGGAGCTGGGGAGTGCCATGTTCCAACACATGGATGTGTTAACACAGCAGATCTCCAACTCCCTAGATGGAAGATTTTAATGGAAATGTCATAATATAAGCACTGCTTATGACTAATTCAACAATCTAGGCTTGTTCCACTGCACAGAAGACCAAGTCTGAAAGTTCCACATTCCATTCATGACTTGGTGTTTTTAAAACAAAAGCCCAAACGTTCGATTTCACCAAATGAAGACTCAGGAGCCAGATGCAGTGGTGAAAGCCTGCTAGCTCAGAAAGGCAAAGAAAACACCCAACTCACCTTTCTCCTCAACCCACATCGCAGAACAACAACAACAACAAACCAGTTCTCCTTCTCCACACCATCTTAAAAACGCTTCCAACTGAATGTCCCTACCTTCTACTTCCTGTGCTTCTCTTTATCTGTCTTCACTTCTTCTCACTCTATTTTTTTTCCTATGTTCACTTCCTGTCAACTGGTTGCTTGCTCCATTTCTTGAACTATGGTTGATTTTATTCAATCTTGTTTACAATAAACTGAAAGCTCTCAGATTAAAGGTGTGTGCTGGGGCAGAGTCACACCACAACTAGAGAGACGTTTTTCCAGTATACAGTCTCACAGTGTGATCAAATAACCTGCGATAGCTTGATCTTTCTGGTGATCAGTGCCACCCTGAGGTTGTCTAGGTCAAAGAATCTCATTTAAAACACAGGATCATATCTCATCCTCAGAAATTCTATGTACTTCTGTCAGGAGTCAGAAACCAGGAGCAGAGTATGTATCCAGACTTTATTCAAGTAAAAAGGTAAACTCAGTTATGTCATCTAACTATAATTTGTAGCTGTTAATACCAGTGTCTCTTTACAGCTGTCTGAACTTATTTCTTTCAGGTTTGAAGTCAGCATGGGGAAGCCAACATTTTTGTTCCACTCTTTCTAAGGGTGTGACTTATAGGGAACTAAAAAACCTATTGAACTCCAAAGATATTATGTTAATTGATGTTAGAAATACATGGGAAATTCTTGAGCATGGAAAAATACCTGGATCAATCAACATACCATGTAAGTGATATGTGTTTTTAAAAAGATTTATTTGTATGCTTAATAACTGATTATCTCCAAAACTTAATTGAATGCCTTAACATTTTCTCCCAGTGGATGAGGTAGCTGAAGCTCTGCAGATGGACCCAAGGGACTTCAAAGAGAAGTATCGTGAAGTGAAGCCATCCACATCTGACCGCCTAGTGTTTTCTTGTTTAGCTGGAGTGAGAAGTAAGAAGGCTATGGACACAGCGATATCACTGGGCTTTAACAGGTGTGTGAATGAAGAAAATACCCGATTGAGCACTGTGTATTGCAATATGATAATGACATTTGGGAAGCTAGGGCTATAAGTCAATGGTAGTGTAATTGCTTACTATGTGAAAAGCCCTGGATTCAATCCCCAGCATACAAAAATAAAAATAAACATGTCTTATTTTATATAAGGATGTCTTGGGGAGGGGACAGGACTGGAGAAACTGCACAAAGATTAACAGCACCATCAGCAATTCTAGAGAACCCAGGTTGAATTCCCAGCACCTACATGGCACACCTCATAGCTGTCTGTAACGCCACTTCCAAGACATATGCTGCCCTCTTCTGGCCTTTTTGGGCATGCGTGCATGTGGTGCACAGCCACACATGCAAATAAAGCACCTACACACATACATAACAAAAATTTAAAATTTCAAGGCCAGTCAGTACTACATTGATATTTTGTCTCAAAACAAAACAAAACAAAAACCAAAAGTTTCTTGGGGCTGGTGATATAATTTAGTGGTAAACCATGTTCTTTACACCCGCAAGTCCCTGGATTTAAGCTCTACTACTACAGGGGCAAAAAAAAAAAAATACTGCTAATAAAAGCAGTATAACCAGGCAGTGGTGGCGCACGGCTGTAATCCTAACACTCAGGAAGCAGATATAGGCGGGTCTCTGTGAGTCTGAGACCAGTCTGGTCTACAGAGTTCCAGGATAGCCAGCGCTATTCAGAGAAACCCTGTCTCGACAAGCTTAAATAAATAAATAAATAAATAAATAAATAAATAAATAAATGTAACATGGGGACCAAGGGCCTGTATCTTTCCAACCTACTTTTATAAATGTTTTTAGGAAATGTAGAATCTGAATAATATGGTGAGTGGCTAATGCAAAACTCTTCTGTTAGGAAGCAACACTAACTGATGTATCTTTGCAGTGCTCAACATTACGTTGGAGGATGGAAGGAATGGATAAGCTATGAAAGTTCAGAGAAGAAACAAGAAAGTTGACCTTTGGAACAATAGACTCTGTGTTCATATATGCAAGAATGGTTGATTAAGCAAAAGAAAATCCCAGCCTTGGCACCAAAGGCTAATAGATTCTGTTTGACTACTTGGTGACTGTTTTGCTCATCTGAGAACTGAGGGTGCTGCTCCCCTGAACATTTTCAAAGACCACTGCACACTGAGATAATATGAATTGCCACTGAAATATATAGATTCTCCAGTTCATTTTTTTTATTCTTCTCTTATGCATTACATCCGAAACCAGTTTCCCCTCCCTCTACAGTTAATTTTTACGTATTTTGGTATTCCATAATCAACTTGTATTATCTAACCATGTGTGATCATGGCTGTGAGCAAAAACACTGTGTCCCAATTTTAAATAATAACTGAGCTTCTGGTTTGAGCCCCAGATTTGTAGGTCCAGTACTTGAAAGATGAAAGCAGAAAGATTGCTATGAGTCTGAGTCCAGATGAGACTTTGGAGACCCTGTTTCGAAAGAAAAGAATCTGGTGTCTGGAGAAGTCAACTCTACTCAGGAAAACTCATTCACAGCATCTGAAGACTCATGGCAATGTGTGGCCAGAATAGTAACAAGGCAACTCAATTTAAAATTATAATTATTGTGAGGATAAAAATCGCAATGGGTTATGACCATGGAGGGCAAAGTAACCTAGAAGAGACCAGGAACATTTGTGGGATACTAGAGATATTCTATGGCAGTGTCAGAAATGTCAGCAGTGTGTGTCAAAACTCATCAAAGCAAACATAAAAATAGGTGTTGTTACAACTTATATACCTCAGTTTCAAAACTAATAAAATATTATTCCTGTTTGACTCCCTCTAGCATGTATGTACTTCTTTAAAATGTTAAGTTATATGCTTGTTAGTGTGCTGGCATAATAGTAACAAGGTAAACTTGCATTTTCCTACCTGCTTCTTCTGACCATTTGTTTTTTATTCTCATTTGCGGAGTTATTTAGATCATGTAGGACGTCCCTAGCAAAGCTCTCGAGATACTTCCTTGTCCAAAATAAGTGGAAGCCATTGAAAAATGTGGAAATACAAGCATTTGAACTTCTGTCTCCACAGTGGCAGTCTGATTTATTGATTGTTCCTATTAGGAGTAGGAATGCTGCAACACACACACACACACACACACACACACACACACACACACACACACATGCACACACACACATACACACACACATACACACACACACACATACACACATACACACACACACACACGGGGGGGGGGGAAGGGGGCACAGGTTAGTATACTTAAAGGCATTACTGAAGCAGCAAGGCTTTGGAAGATCTATGACCTTAAGGATAAAAAGAGTGTAGAGAATGTACCCAAATTGTAGTCCTAGGCCCATGACTACAGCCTGGATAGTGCCTGGCTTTTAGTTACAACTAATGGTGCTGACAAGCCACAAATTGATCAGTCCTCTCAAGAACTAAATGTCAACTAACACCCCCCCCATGCAGACATCTTCCTGATCCTGATAGATGAATATATGAACTAAGTATGAATTTTATGTTTCATGTCACCAAATGTTCTTCCAACTATTTAGAAGTATAGCAAACTTCTTACCTTAAGGCCAGGCCAAAAAGTAGGTGACAAACCAGATTTTGACTAAATCTGTTTGTGGTTGTCTGAATGAGAGCCAAAGGCTATTTCAAGTGTTCATATATAATGTTCAGACGTTTATCAAAACTTGTTAGGCAAAACAGTAGTCAAGATATTTTTGGGTTTGTTTTTGTTTTTGGAGACACCGTCTTACTGTATAGCTATAGCTGGCCTGGAACTCATATGTAGACCAGGCTGGCCTCAAACTCAGAGATTGCTTGCCTGCCTCTGTTTCCCAAATGCTGGGTGGAATTCAAGGTGTGGGACATCATCAGTATTCAGTATCTTATAATTGAAAAGTAACAGGAAAAAAAAGAGCAGGGTATAGTGGTATATGCTTATAGCCCCAACACTTGGGAGGGGGAGGCAGAAGGATTCAAGGTCCCCAGCTACAGAGAAAAAGGGCCAGCTTGAGCTATATGAAGCCCTGCTTCAGAGGGGGAAAAATAGAAACAGAACCAGAGGGGATTTACAAATTGGACTTTTAGACATAAAGATTAAAGTAATGATTTTTGTTTGGATTTCTATTGCTGTGAAGAAACACTGTGACCACAACAATTCTTATAAAGGAAAACATTTAACTGGGGCTGGCTTACAGTTCAGAGGTTTAGTCCATTATTGTCATGGCAGGAAACATGGTGGCATGAAGGCACATATGCTGCTGAATAAGGAGCTGAGAGAGTTCGACATCTTGATCTAAAGACAGCCAGTATGGTAGTTTGAATACACTTGGCCTAGGGAGTGGTACTATTAGGAGGTGTGGTCTTTGAGTAGGTGTGGCCTTGTTGGAGGAAGTATGTACTTGTGGTCATGGACTTTAAGACGCCCCACCCACCCCCATCCTAGCTTCCTGGAAGCCAGACTTCTAGCTGCCTTTGGAACAAGAGGTGGAACTCTCAGCTCCTCCAGCCCCACAGCTGTCTGGATGTTGCCATGAGAATTTGATCCCCAGCAGGACTGTGAACCATGGAGACTGGGCACTATCTTCTGAGACCTCAAAGCCTAGCCCCACAATGACACACTACCTCCAACAAGGCCACACCTACCTCAACAAGGCCACACCTCCTAATAGCGCCACTCCCTATGGGTCATGCATTCAAACACATGAGTCTATGAAGGCCACTTCTGTTCATATCACCTTAGTAACTGTAACTAAAAACAAGTAAACTAAAACACATTCAGTAATTTGATGATGTAAGTAAGGAGAACAATATCAAAAGACAGGAAGTATCAAATAGAGATTCTGGCCTGTAATCTCAGCTACTCTAGAGGCTGGGGCAAAAGGATTTGAGTTCAAAGGCAAGCTAGGAAAATTAATGGGAACCTAAGAAAACTAAGAAAGGGTAGGTATGTAGCTTAGTATTAGCACATTTAACTAGGCCACACAAGGTCCTGTTTTGATTCCTGGTAACCAAATATAACAGAAGATAACGAACATCCAACAAATGTTAAAAAGTTTTATCACAGACACAGATAATAAGATTACTGTCAGTGAAAAGTTAGAGGTTTACATATATTGTAATGATGTTGAAAAGAACAAATTACAGAAATATACTATGTATTCTAGGTTTTATTTTTTTAAAAGATTTATTTATTTTATGTATGAGAGTACATTGTCGCTGTCTTCAAACACACCAGAAGAGGGCATCAGATCCCATTACAGATGGTTGTGAGCCACCATGTGATTGCTGGGAATTAAACTCAGGACCTCTGGAAAAGCAATGAGTACTCTTAACTCTGAGCCATCTCTGCAGCCCATTAGTCTAGTTTAAACCACGAAATAACATAATTTATTAGTCATTTCAACATAGCTACGGAAGTAAGGAATGCCACCTTCGGAATGGTTTCCATTGAGGGAAGAGAAAGACACAGGTATTTACAACATTGTTTACAGTCTACTTAATGGTTGTTACTTATTATTGCCACCTTCTCTATGTAGGGCCTAGGGAGAGGACAGATGAGAACGAGCTCCTTAGGAAGGTTTCTTATTCCCAGAAAACACTGTGAGGAAATGGCCGGAAGGCATGAGGCTAGGTATCTAGATACGACCAACAGGGGGAAGGAAAGAAGCTCTAGAGGGCCTAGAAAATACCCAAGTCAGAGTTCCTTTAGCAAATTCCCAGCACTTGGGTGCCTCCCATCCCAAAGAGAGCTGTTTGCTTGCTTGAGTAAAGCTATGGCAATCATCTTGCTGAGGAGGAAAGGTAAAAGAGGGCAGGTTCCTTGCTTACCACGTTTGGTGTTCCTCTTTGTCCCAGTACTGGTTGGGCTATACGCCTGTGTCTTAGTTAGAGTATCCATAGGTGTGGAGAGTTACCTTGACAACAGCAACTTATAAGGAAAAGCTTTATAAGAAATGCTTATAAAGAAAAGCATTGGGGTTTGCTTACACTTTAGAGATATAGTCCATTTTCAGAATGGCAGGAAGCATGGTGGCATGAAGGCAGACATGGTTCTGGAGGAGGAGCTTAGCGGTCTACATCTGGATCTGCAGGCAGCAGGAAGAGGAAGAGAAGAAAGAGGGGGGGAGAGAGGAAGAGAAAAGAGAGAAGAGGAAGATAGAAGCGATAGAAAAGAGAGAGGGAAGAGAGAGAGAGAGAGAGAGAGAGAGAGAGAGAGAGAGAGAGAGAGAAGGGAGAGAGGGAGGGAGACTGGGCCTGGCTTGGGCTTCTGTAATCTCAAAACCCACAATGACATACTTCCTCCAACAAGGCCGCATCTCCTAATGCTTTCCAAATAAAGCGCTCCCTGATGACTAAACACTCGATATACAAGCCTATGGGGGCATTCTCTTTCAAATTACCACAACCTGGGAAAGGAAAGGACTATGGGGAAGACCACACCTCTGCTCTACCGTTTCTTCACCCCACACCCAGATACTCTGAGGCCCTTTCTGTAGTTACTTGAAGGGGTTGGTCCTTCAAGTGAAGCCTTGTAAGACTAGCTTCTTGTGTCATGTTTTTAAAGATGCCAGATCAACGGAAAACATCTGTGCTAGGGGTACTGTGCTGCTTTTTGTCAAATTGACAAAAAAACAAAAAACAAAAACAAAAAAACAAAACAAAACAAAAAAACTAGACATGTCTGGGAAAAGGAAACCTCAACTGAAGAACTGCCTCCATTAGACTGTCCTCTGGAAATGTGTGTGGGACATTTTCTTCATTGATGTAAGATTCCCCCTTACTGTGAGCAGTGCCACACCTGAGAAGGTGGTCCTAGGTAATATAAGCAAGCAGGCTTGGGCTGGAGAAATGGCTCATAGGTTAAGAGCACTGATTGCTCTTCAAGAGGTCCTGAGTTCAATTTCCAGCAACCACATGGTGGCTCACAACATTCTGTTATGGGATCGTATGCCCTCTTTTGGTGTGTCTGAAGACAGCTACAGTGTACTCATATACATAAAATAATAAATCTTAAAAAAAAAAAAAAGCAGACTCAGCAAGCCAAGGGGAACAAGTCACTAAGTGGTGTTCCTCCAGACTGGTCCAGTTCTTGCCTCCAGGTTCCTGCTTTGAGCTCCTGCTCTGATTTTTCACAGTGATGCATTGTGATGTGGAAATGTAAGCAAGAATAAACTCTTTCTTCTCCTTAGTTGTTTTTAGTCAGTGTGGTTTTTTTTTCACAGCAACAAAAAAGTGTATGAATTGAGGTAGCTTTTAAAATGAAAAAGGATGGCAATAAAGTCCCTCGTGGTCCTAAAGCATACCCTTCTTAATACCCTTTGGGTTGGCCTGTGTCTGGCATCTTATGAAGCGTGAGAGTGTAAGTAATCCTTGAGCAGGAAGAGACAAACATCAGTCTTTTAAAAAGTTCAGCAGTAACAAGTTCATAATGTTTTGTCCTTAACCCATTATTTTTCAGCTGCATGTAGAGGGTGCTGGGACTATTTATCAATACTTCCCAATGCTAATTCTCCATAGTCTGCCCTTGCCTTGGTTGCTACTGCCAAGGAATATCCAGAGGTTAGAGGATGCTGCCTGTCATCCTAGTGGCCATAGTATTCTTGGAGATGCCCAATGGTTGCACTATGGGCCCTTCTAATCTCCTGTCTGCTTTTTTTGTTTGCTTTTGGGACACAGTCTCTCTGTACAGCTTTGGCTGTCCTGGAACTCACTTTGCAGACCAGGCAACCACACTTGGTTCACCAAGGACCCTTCTATCTTGATGGTCCTTGGGACTATGGCCACTCTCTTTTTTTTTTCTTCCAATTAGATACCCCCCCCAACCCAACCAGGCACGGGGGTCCTGTTAGCAATCCATTCTGTTACCAATATGCTTTTGTAAACCCTTTTTTGCAAGGAAACAGATGGCAAATCAAGTGTGTTGAGAAATGGTAGCACCATAAGTATCTGACACACAAACAGATCTGAGCAGGCAGCCACACGACTGACTCTGCCAAATAAGACTAACAGAAGAAACAGAGATGGCAGGGGACTGACTGAGCCATGGTAGGTATGGAGTCCCACAACTTACTGGGACAGATATTTTCACACTCTTTGTTAGCAGGTTGGGGACAGGGCCCATCCCCAGTGGCCTAGGGAATATGAGTAGGGAAGCGGCTACCCTAATCTAAGACTTCTCTGAGGTTTTTCTCCTCCTTGCAGATGGGACAGATGCCAAGGTTTCTCTTAAGTCCTCTACTTGGCTGCTTTCTTAAATAGAGTAGAATTAGACCCTCAGACACTCAAATAAAAACCCTAATTTTCTTTTGTTAGGAGGCATTGCTCTCATATCCCCTGGACAATGGCAAAACAAAGCAAACAAATAAAACCTGCCCCAGGAACCCTCAAATATGTAGTTATCCCCATCATGGGAGAAGATCACTTTGATAACGAGTAGATCACAAGGGAAGGAAGGAAAACATGACAACAGTGGACAAAATTCTGAATTGATCAAACGTCTCCTCTTCCATTCATTCTCGTCTTCTCCACCTACCTTATGATTTCCATGAGGTCTCTTCGATTCTGTGAGAATATATTCTGCATTTTACTATGCATGTGTCATAACACTTAATGGACACATGTTCAGCACCTAATCTATTGGAAGTTTTGTAGTTTAAAAAAATGTTTGTATATTATTGAGTCTGTTTCTCCTGCACTTGGCAGTTAACTACATGCATGTGGTACCCATAGATGCCAGAAAAAGGAGATGTATCTTCTGGAATTTTTGTTATAGATGGATGTCAGCTGCCATGTGGGTGCTGGCAACTGAACCCAGGTCTTCTGCAAGAGCAACAAATATTCTTAAACTCCTGAGCCATCTCTCTAACCCTAAATACTGTTTTTTAAAAATTATGTTTTTATTTTTATTATTATTATTTCTTGTTGTTGTCATTTTGTTTTTGTGAGGCAGCCCTGGCTGTCCTGGAACTCAATTTGTAGATCAGGCTGGCCTGGAATTCAGAGATCCACCTGTCTCTGACTCCCAAGTGCTAGGTTTAAAGACCCGTGCCACGAAACGAAGCTTTAAAATACCTTTTAGTTATTATTTGTATGTGTGTGGATATTTTGTTTGTATGATGCATGTATATGTGTGCATCACTTGCATGACTGGTCCCTGCAGAGATGAGAAGGGCTAAGGTCTCCTGGAACTGGAATTACAAAGTGGTCATGTAGGTTCTGAGAATTCAATCTAGCAGCTAGTGCTCTTAACTGCTGAGCTCTCTTCAACTCAAATGATAGACTCTTAAAGATAAAGCAGCCAAGCTCGGTGTCTCACACCTTCAATCCTAACATTATAGAGACTCAGGCAAGAACATCAGTGGTTTGAGGCTAGCCTGGGCTGTGTAAGGAGACCCTAATTCAAGCAATAAATTCAAATGAAAAACCAAATAATTCCTACACCTCCAGCAAAATACATTGTTTCTCTCTGTATGGAAAACTTAAAAAAAAATTCCAACACTGTAAGTTTCTTAAGCACCAAGGAAAGGGGGGAAAGGGAAAAGTAAAGAGATTTCAGTATGGAGAGAGAAGGGGAAAGAGAAACTTCCAGGAGTTATCCTGGTAAAATCCCACTGAGTGTATGTGTGTTTATAAATTCCTATTTCACATTTTCTTTGAAGATTACATTTGATTATTGTTATCTTATTTTTTTTTTTAGATTTACTGTATTCATCTGAGAGCTTTGCATGCATGTCTGTGCACCACCAGTGTGCCAGGTGCCTGAGGAAGTGGTAAGGCTCCGTGTGGGGTTGGGATTGAACCTGGGTCCTTTTCAAGAACAAGTGCTGTTAACCACTGAGCCAACTCTTCAGCTCCTGTTGACAGTTGTTTAACCTTTGAGTCTATGCTACACTTATTCTAACACATAGTCTTTCAAATTATGGTTTTGTCTTCTCAAATATGTAGGATCCTCTAAAATTACACAATACCCTAACCTCAAACAGTGTGATTAAGCCAAATAGAAGAAAAGGAACATGAAGGAAACTGTTAAAACGGAACAGCCAGTGGTGGTGGTTGGTTCACACTTTTTTCTTTTTTTTGGGGGGGGTGGGTTTCGTGACAGGGTTTCTCTGTGTAGCTGTGGCTGTCCTGGATCTCACTCTGTAGACCAGGCTGGCCTCGAACTCAGAAATCCACCTGCCTCTGCCTCCCAAGTGCTGGGATTAAAAGCGTGCGCTACCACTGCTTGGCTGGTTCACACTTTTAATTTAAAAAACAAAAACAAAAGCCAACAACAAAACCACTTAAAAAAAAAACAACTTAATACCCTAAGCTTAATACCCTAAGACCAAGAATAACCTAAACTCTCAAGAAGAGTAACATGGTACTTAAAAGGCTTGAAGTCCCTTCTTTAGTAACTACACAAGAGAAAGCGGAATCCCAATCTAGTCAGTTCTACAAACAGCAGTGATACTTGGCCTTCAAAGTAGTCATTCTAGCCAGTAGGATGAGATCAGCTAAGTCCCTAAGTGTGAGTTTTAGAAAACAAATAACAATTCTTGGATGGCTTAACAAAAAACATGAAGCAATTTAGCAAATTATAATTAAGGTAAACTGTCAATTATAAAAAGACAAAATATTTTTAAAAAGTTATTGGACTATAGACTATTATCTATATATACTAAATATGAATTTTAAAAACACTGTACATATAGTTCAGGCTGGCCTCAAACTGTTCATATGTTATGAGGCTACATACTTGAACTTCTGATCCTCCTGATTCGATACCCCAAGTACTGTGGGCCTGCTCAAACTGGAATTAAATGATAAAAGCCCCATTGTAGGGCTGAAGGGGAAGATGTGTGAGAAACCAAGATCTCCCATCTTCCAAGGCAGGGTGTTATTTACAGCTGAAAATAAAAAGGGGAGGGGTAAGCAGAAGAGGCAATATGGTAAAGTTTAGCTCAGATGCTCTGGTTTTTCCAATTAGAACCTGCATCTAAGCTGTTACTTACTTCACCTGTGACTGAATGAGTTCTCATCTCTGCAGTAAGTCTAGCTCAAATTCCGACAGCACATGGCATACATCTAGCATACAGTAAATAATTAACGGTACTAACGGTACTATTAAGAGCCTGCTAACTGGAAATGCTGAAGTAAATAGCAGACAAATGACAAAGTTAAAAGGAAAAGCAGGAAATGCAAATGAAGGTAGGTGAGATGAGACAGAAATCTAATATTTTCATTATTATCTAGCAGCAGCACTGTCCAATGCAAGCCACTCTATGATTTTAAATATTCCTATACTTAAAAAATTAAAAAGAAACAAGAAAAATTTTAATAATGTTTTATTTAATTCTACGTATCCAAAATATTATCATTTAAAACACATAATGGTTATAAACAAATTGAGATTTTTAACATTATTTTGTTTTGTATTATAATTACCTGAAATCCAACATGTTTGCACATTTACAGCATATCTGCATTCAGACGAGCCACATAGTAACTGTTCAGCCCTAAGTGGCTGGTGGCTCTGAGACTGGACAGTGTGCCTAAGACTGACTGACTGATTCTGAATCTGTACTTGTCATAAGTGAGGACAATCCAGCAACAGCCACTGTGTGTTGACTAATACAAGGAACGGCCACCTTACAGTAGTCTAGCCAAAATAAAAAAGAATCTCAATGTGATCAGCCTTCATATTCAATTATCAATGTACAGAACTACAAAGGAGGAAAAACCCCTCACTAAATGACATGCTAAAGATGTTCACAGTAAAACTTAGGCTATGGGAAACTTAACGCATGAACAAATGAAAACAGGGAATGTTTTTATAGCATGGAGGAAGAACTCATGAATCTAAAACTAAATGGATTTATAAATGAATACAAAGAATGCTCTGCAATGTTCAGGAGATTGAGAATTTTAATATATTAAATAATTATTTTACCTATTAGGAGAATGAAATATTTATGGATAAAATGGTATATCTAAAATTTTCTTCAAAATAATATACAAACTGGAGACTAGTGTGGAAGTTTAAATAAGGTAAAACTGGCTATGAATCAGTAGTAGCTGAGGCTAGACCATACACACATGGAGGTTTATTTCACTGCTTTGTCTGCTCTTGCAAATTCTTCATTTTCCACAATAGCACTTGCAAAGAAAACTAGGAAGCACAAAGATAAATCTGAAAAAAGAAACTAGATTTAAAAAAAAAGCTTGAAGATTAAACTATAGTTAATGGCTGTGATAAGAATCACCAAGTATCCAAGCTAAACTTGGATTTGGATTAACCCCTTCAGGCCTGGGGAGAGCCTGTTTGTTTCTTGTCCTTATACAGCTTTAGGAGAACCCATATTTGTACCAGTGTAAAGTCTCCTTTCCAGCGCATCTGCATCAGATATTCTCCATAAGAAGTAGAACTTTCCCAACAACCTATTCATAAACTGTACAAAACCACCCCTTAACAAAGTTTAAGGTTCTACTTTAACACGCACAAAGATTCTCAGAAAACCTAAGTCAAACTTAGCAGCAGGAATTCAAGACATTAGTGAATATAGCTGAAAAGCTTAACTTTTATTCTTCTAATTTTAACCAGGAAGTCAACACTTGGTACTATTTTTTTCATGATTTATTTGTTTTAAAAGTGCAAAACTACACAATAATATTCCATTACTCCAAGTTTTACTTATTCTTCTTCAAGTCTGAAGAAAATGAGTTAATTCTTGAAGTTCCACATTTAATTTAAAATGTAACATTTATTCTGAAGTCTACACCTGTGAGAATTAAGAATCTCACTGGTCTAAAACCTGACTAGGTTCCCGATTCAGAATTCCTGCTGTACATATGTTAGCTTACACTAAAACACAAAATTAAACTGGGTGTATATGTTTCATAAAACATTTTCAGGACATTAAAATTTCACCAAATTTTAACTTAAGCGTTTAATCAAATTAAACTTTTAAAATGCTTATTAACTATAAATTAGTTGCAAATAACCTTTTCTTTCAGGTTTCCCAGCATTTCAAAACAGCTAGTAAGTCAATACAACCTTTAAAATGTCAATGTATGCTCTCTCTATATATATTGCACTTTTTTGATAGGCTGGGCTGGTATCTTCTGTGATGATACAAAAGTATTGAATACATTTTAAAATCAGTAAGTTCTTGATTAATCTCCCTCAACTTGTAATTATCATTTCTAAAACCTAGGATTTTCTAAGATTTAATTTCTTAAATCCACTTTGAAAATTTAACTGAGTTGGGGGGAGTTTTATTGAGTTTTTATGTCTTTTTTGGTCCCTCAAAATTTTTCTTTGCTCAAAGAAAAATGTGAACAAATGATATTTCATGTTTCCTGCTTAATTAAAAAGAAGCTATTATTAATTAAAAATAAAAAAACCTTCAATTTCCTAATCAAAAAACAGTATTCATATGTGTCTACATACATATGTGTATGTGAGAGAGAAGTTAACTCTGAAATGTCTGTGTATGGCTATTGGTTCCTTTAGAGGCTTACTAAATTTTATAATTAATATTTAATAAATTACAAACTAGAATCAAGTTAGGAAAAAATCCCTTATTTTGTGAAAATTAAGTCAATTCCCAATATGCTTGACAGAAACAAGCTATTCGTTTGCATCTGCTTTCCAATGAAGACATTACTCAAATTGTCCAATGCTTTACTTCCAAGTGGTCCACTACGGAATTCTTCAGGGTGTTTTAAGATTGGCTGTAGCTAGAGTTCTGACTTCCATTTGGACCCTGCTCTCCTTCACTGTTCAAACGGGGAAGAAAGAAATTTTATGCCAATTAAAAGATTCATTTTTCAATACTTGGATAGTACTATTAATTTCTGAAGTTCATTATTCTGTGGAGCAATTCTATAAAACAGATACTCCTGATTATAAAACACAAATGTAGAAAAATGAAAATCCAGAAAACTAACAGTTGGTTCTATGCTTTTATTCTTCTGTAACTTGAGGCCCTCATACATAACAAGCAGTCTGGAAGTTAGTGTCCATATACATTCAGAGATTTATGTTAGACTTTAGGATTTCATTATTATTACAGGTATCACTCAACATAGAGATTAAAACTTCTGAACAAACTTCCTACAAAATTAAATCTGACATATAAAATTTTATTTCTACTCGAGGAAAATCCAAGGTGTCTTTCAAAAGAAAAAAAAAAAGAAAAGAAAAAAAACCGTTGTCCAATGGTATAATAAAATCATATGGTAATGGCAACAAATCTTTCTACATCAAAAATATGGTAGTTTCTTGGAAAAACGCTGATTATTAAAATCAAAATAACTAAAGCTGAAAATACCAGTAACTGTGACAATCGGAGATTGCCTTATCTTGTCCATCATCATCTTGCAGCGTCAGGCCCTGCCATTAGTGGAGAATCACTCAGGGAGCTTCTGTAAAAAATGCATCCAAAGGAAGCTGTTTCAATGACTGCCTTAAGCAGCTCCTAGTACAGTTAATCATCATTCTCTTCTCAACTGTAGCATCACTGTAACCAGCAGCAGTCTCAAAATGCATCTTAGTGTTATAGACCCTCTCTACGTAACAACTAAGCTTACAGCATTTATTCTCCGTCTCACCTTTCTCACTTTGAATGATCTGATACACAGAGAGGGCACAGCGCCACTCAACTAAGTGAACAGATTCATTTAAAACAACAAAAACATCTTAGTACAGGAGGTTCCTCTCTGGTAAAATTATATGTAACTGTGTGCTATGGATCAGAGGATCACTCAGTAGCCAAAATTTATAATCTTTAGCATATAAGGTCATCAAAAATTTTCAAAATGCTTACTGAAACATATGAAATAGGAGAATAATCATTACTGAAGGAAGAGGAACGACAGTCAAATGGGAAGAATTACTTTCAAGTTTTTTAACTCTGAATTTCCAGTGTGTGTCTAATTCAGTTCAGTTAAAGTGAAGAGCGTGGCTATATGTTGAGGGATACCTGTAATAGACCTCCATTGCATTAGAAAAGTTACTAGACAGAAGAATTCATCTTACAACTGAGACATTCTCAATTAAGACAGAAATTACATAAGCAGATACAAAGCAATTTTAGTACAAGTTTTTATAAAAAGATAAAATATAACACAATCTAAGGAAAATATAATAAATGACTACATCATACAGTGAAATTAAATCAGTTTAAAATGTACCTGTTTGGAGGTGGCTTTGGCTTCGGCATCTTACTAAGAATAGTTGCCATCTCTTTTCTCTCATCAAAATTCTTCCACTGCTCATACAGTTTTAAAATAACCCTGATTATTTCCAAAATCTAAAAGAAAATATTTGAAAAGCTCTCAATAGCAAAAACTAGCAACGTATTAGAATATAAAGAACACATATTATGTAGGGCAAGGGGACACATGCCTCAGTCTCAGCACCTGGGAGAAAAAGGCAGGTGGATTTCTATGCATTGGAGGCCAGCATGATCTACATAGCAAGTTCCAGGCAAGAAAGGGCTATATACAGTAAGACCATGTCTTCAAAAAAGAAAAGAGTACCTTCTCCATATCCACAGAAAGTTCTGCAAACCATTGTCTAGCATCTTTCTGTTGTACAACACAGGCTACATGTAGGCAAGCTAGAAAGAAAATTAGAGACAATTGTTCAAATTTAACTGCAAACATAGTCTTAGAATTAAAGATTTTCATAAAGATTGTCTTATTTTCCAAAACTATTTTTAAAAAGTGTGGCAACAATATTGACTGACACACACACACACACACACACACACACACTATTATTTAAAACAATCTCTAGCTATAGGACGGTTCTTGACATCCTGTCTTCACTGTGTACTGGTCACAGTGAGGGTGCCTTGAGAGCAAATTTGTTATAAGAGAAACAACTCCAACCAAGAAATTAGGACAGGAAAAATCACCTATGCATACTGGTGCAAAGTAGTCAAATCACACTCAGAAGTCAGTGACAAAACAAAGCCCTACCTAACCAATGCACTGCTAAGTCTTAAAAATGTTTGTTGAGGGTACAAAATTCCTTGAACCCACAGATCACTAGGGCAACCAGGAACGTTAATCATATAAGATGTCTCCTAAAAGGAAGAAATAAAATTCCAGCATTCCATCCAGAAAGCTGGGGGTGGATATTCTTAATGACCTATCTTTTTGCTATCTGTAGAGGCAGACCTCATTCAGGCAGACCTCATGCAGATCCCCCAGAACGTCCATCCCAGATCCTCCCTCCCTGGATCTTTATCTTTAGCTCCCAGTTAATAGACCCCATTCTTAGGGGATAGAATCTAAATTTTAAAAAGCTAAATTTCACCTAGGTGTTTATTGACCTTTGTACTATAGTCACATTTGGTTAGACAAGCTTTGAAAACTGTCTTGTGTAGTATGGGTTCAATTCCCACCCACATTAAAAAACCAAAACTAACAAAACAAAAAAACAAAAACAAAACAAACAAAAAACAAACAAACAAACATGGGAAGAGGGATGGAGAGACGGCTTAATAGGCTAAGAACACTGGTTATTCTTCCAGCATTTGGGTTTAATTCTCAGCACTGATATGATGACTGAACCAACTGTTACTGCAGTAATGGGGATCCAATGCATTCTTCTGGCTTCTGCAGGCAATACATACACATAATGCACAGACACACATGCAAGCAAAACATCCATACACAAAAAAGAATAATCTTGGGCAAGACAGCACACAATGGTAATCTCTGGAATACACAGTAAGTCAGCCTAGTCTAATAAATGAGCCCTAGGTCTTAGTAAGATACCCTGTTTCAAAAAGGTAGATGGCTCCTGCAGAATGACAAAGGTTAACCTCTAGCCTCTACCATGTGTGCCCCGCCTTCACATGAACTTGCCCATACTCACGGAATACACACCAACACACTTACTTTAATATTTCAACACATAAAAGACTATATATAAAAGCTACTGATCTCAGTAAGACTGACTACCTGAGAGGAACACAGACCACACAGGTGGCAAAACCATGCCATATATCCTGCTATTTCTTCCTATCTACACACACCCAGCATCTTCTCACTGAACATAGATATTAGATAGAGTCCCACCAAGTCCAGCAATTTACAAGAGTCACCAGTGAGGCTAGAGAGATGGCTCAAAGGTTAAGAGCACTGGCTGCTCTTCCAGAGGACCTGAATTCAATTCCCAAGACCCACATGGCAGCTCACAACTATCTGTAACAACAGTTCCAGGGAATCCAACACTCTCATTCATACATACATGGAGGCAGGCAAAATACCAATGCATATGAAATAAAAATAAATCATTTAAAAAAAAAGGCACCAATGTCGTAGAACTGTTAAGTTTAACTTATATCGACCTCTAGTATAAGGTTGAAAACCAGCAATGTTTATGACATAACTGAAAAGAGGCGCTGAAGAGATGGCTCAGCTGTTTAGAATACTTACTGCTCTTGTAGAACTGGGTTTAATTCCTAGCACCCACATGGTGGCTTACAACTATCTTAAATTCCGGGGATATAGTGCTCTCTTCTGGCCTCCATGGGCTCCAGGCATGTGTGTGTTATATATACATACATGCAGGTAAAAATATTCATACATATAAAACAAAATAATCTACAAGAAAAATTTAAATAGACATAACTGAAAAGATAGAGAGAACAAAGGAGGAGGAAGAGGAGGAGGAGGAAGAGGAAGAGGAAGAAGAGAAGGAAGAAGAGGAAGAAGAAAAAGAAGAGGAGGAGGAGGAAGAAGAGGAAGAAGAAGAGGAATTAGAAGAAAGAGAAGGGTTTTTAGAATGGAGTCATGAAAATCAACAGGAGGAGGAGAGAAAAAAGGAGCAGAATATATTAAGTCTTTGGACCTAATAGACACCTGGTGTTCTATAGGATATATCGCTTAACTATTGAAACAACTGTTTATAAAGTTATTATCCTTTCCACTATCTTACAAAGTGAGAAAAAAACAGATAATTGTTTGTACAGCTGTATAGGAAACAATGTTCCAATCTGGTTTACTTAACTCCCAGGACAATGCTAGCCATCTCTGTGCACTTCCTACACTCTGTGGGATGCCAGCTAAGTTCTCCTAGTAACAGAAGCATAGATGCATCTTTCCTTAAGTTCTTGAGCATTTGACTGGATTCAGAAATGGAAAACAGAACCAGTTATTTATAAGACAACTACTATCAGCATTTAGTTCTGAATTTCCCCCCTAAGCAAATACAAACTTTGCTAAGATACTAGTTAAAATTATTTTAAATGAATTAAGTGGAGGGGGGGAGTGCAAGGAGGGGAAGCCTTACCATAAAAGTGGAAAAGTGGGAGAGGGAAAATAATGCTAATCTGAGATGGTGTAGTGTGTAATTATTGAAAGCTCACATTCAAGATTAGTCTACTACTACAAAACATAAAATCAAGTGAAATTTATTCTAGGATGATCTAAATAGGCAAAAACAGTTAACCAATAAAGGCACACCAAATTTACATACCTAAAGCTATCATGAAAGGAGGGTACAGAAGACAAAGATCCGTCCTGTAGGTATCATTCACTATCCTCCTGTAGAAATGTAAATCTTACCATTACTAAAAGCACAACTAGTTCATTAACTGTAACTTCTTTCAAAGAGAACCAGATTTCCCTCCCATCTTTCTACACTTACATCCCTGTTCGGTGACTGACCCCAGCCACAGAAATGACACAGAGGCCAAGCAATGGATGCATGAGTATGACAACAAGGGGACACATATTACTGAGTATAAAACTCATGTATTAGTCAGCATATTTTCAATTTTGAGACCCCATAACAAGTAATGTAAAAAAGTTGTTCACATTTTGAAAGTCAAAAGTAAACTTTAAAAGCCATGATTTAAAATGGGTTTGTATCGTATCCAAACAAAAAGTATTATTTAAAAAATAGATTCGCCGGGCGGTGGTGGCGCACGCCTTTAATCCCAGCACTTGGGAGGCAGAGGCAGGCGGATCTCTGAGTTCGAGAGTTCGAGGCTAGCCTGGTCTACAGAGTTCCAGGACAGCCAGGACTACACACAGAGAAACCTTGTCTCGAAAAAACCAAAATAAATAAATAAATAAATAAATAAATAAATAAAAAAAAATAGATTCATCTTTAATGTTCATGTTAAGTCTGTTTTTCATATGAAATATTAACAGATATCCTATTAAGTAGGTAATGGAAGACATGTATGACTTTATAACTTATGCCACTATAGTATTTCAAATTTAACAAGCAGATAGATAACTTGCTAAATATAAAATGTCTTGGGGGGGTTGGAGAGATGGTTCAGAGGTTAAGAGCACTGACTGTTCTTCCAGAGGTCCTGAGTTCAATTCCCAGCAACCATCTTTAATGAAATCTAGTGCCCTCTTCTGGTCTTTGGGAATACATGTAGGAGACTGCTGTATATATAATGAATAAATAAATCTTTTAAAAAGTAAATAAATAAATAAAAATAAAATGTCTTGGGATATTTTAATAAGTAAGCCACATATTTAGTTGTCAGTCCTCCTGTCTAGTAAGTAATATATGAACAACTTTTGCTCTAGTTACCATGCAAGCGGAAGCAACACGTCTTCTTGGCCCATGTCCTGCACGTACTGGAGCAAAGGTCTATACGGATGATACACTATCAAGCAACAGTCCTAGAAACAGTTTAAAAATATGTATGTGTAAAAAAACAGATGTATTATAACATAAAATGATAAAATGGTATCATTTTCCAACATCTTGTTCTGTGTTTCAAATTAATTTCTCTGTCTAATAATTTCTTTTTATTTTTATTCTCTTACTCAAATATGACCCTATGCTACTGTAACAGTGAAGGCAGTGCTCTCTCTGGAATATACCTTGGTAAATCAGATGGTACCCAATCAGCATCCATTCTTTCCCTTAGAGACTTAAAGTGTCACATCTGCAATACACTAAGAGCCTCTTATTAGCCTATAAATCCATAATTCTCAACTAGAGGACCAGGATTCTGACAAAGACATAATCTGTCTTTAATTCTACAACATGCACAATTTGTGCAAAGAATTTGCAATGGTCCTGGCTTATTTGCTTGTAATCCTTATTAAAGTTACAAGAAAATTAAAAAAACTTCTTTTTACAGCCCAAGTAAGATAAACAATTACTGTACAGCCTGCAGAAAGGAAGTAGGTGACGATGCTCTTATATCCCTATGACTCTGCCATAATGTATCATTTGGATGTATTCAATTTTAACCTCCTTTCAATACAACCCATCAAGTTTTTGTTATGGAAAAATATACATACCATTAATTCTAGGAGGTAAAATTCACATTCTAGTATCTGTTTAAAAAAAACACCCAGTGAAAATAAGCATAATTACATAAATATCTACTTAAAATAATAACTTACTGATACAGATAAATTAATTTATCAATATTATATAAAACTTCTAAGTCAAAAAATAAACATAGTATGTTATATTAGCATTAACATTTACAATAAAAATTACTAATTTTATTTGTTCTTTCGAGACAGGGTCTGATGATATAGACCTGGCTTCCCTCAATGTCACAGAACTCCACATACTTCTGCCTCCTAAGGACCGAGAATAAAAGCTTATGCCATTATGCCTGGGAAAATTTGCTTTACTATTAAATAATACATTTTAAATTCTTATAAGGAAAAGATAGTATCATGTCTTTTTTTGGGGAGGAGGGAGTTACTTGGAATTGAACCCAAAGTCTCAAATAAACTAAGCACTTATTTTGCTACTGAGCCACAACCAGAATTCCTTAAAAAAAAAAAAAAATTAAACAGTTACAAATATTAGAAACTGCCGGGTGGTGGTGGCGCACGCCTTTAATCCCAGCACTTGGGAGGCAGAGGCAGGTGGATTTCTGAGTTCGAGAGTTCGAGGCTAGCCTGGTCTACAGAGTGAGTTCCAGGACAGCCAGGGCTACACAGAGAAACCTTGTTTTGAAAAACAAAAAGAACCCAAACAAACAAATATTAGAAACTTCAAATTTAAGCCATGCATGGTGACATATGCCTTTAATATCTGAGTTTGAGGTCAGCCTGGTCTACAGTGTAAGTTTGAGAGTTCCATGACAGCCAGAGCTAAACAGAGAACTCCTGTCTTGAAAAAACAAAATAAAACCAAAAAGAAACTTCAAAATTTTCTATGTACTTTCTACTGACAAATGTACAGTGCAACTATATATACTTAATGGAATAAACAAATTCCCTGCAAGGTGGGAAATGGTACATCTATTAAAATATTAACAGAAACCCAACAGGTAATTTTTCAAAAACAGTCTTCAAACTGCTCCAAATGAGACACATTGGTGTAACCTGGAAACACTGATGTGAGACCACTGCCACTCGAAACCTGAAAATTCTGCTTTAATTTGGAGAAGTCCCAACTTCAATATTATTAAAAGCTTCCTAAGGTGATTTAACTGGGATACAAGATTAATAATAACTACTGTTAAGTATCACCAGAAAACTATAGAGAAGCTACTGAGACTTACTCTAAAAATAATATATATATGTACATATATTTATAGTACTTGAAATTCCCATTTCTAAGATGTTCTGAAGTTTATTCTAATATAAAATGGAGTTAGTTAATACAGAGTTTTATATAATATACTTACATGATTCATCCTGTAAGGAAATTCCTTTGGAAAGGCATATGAAAATCTAGTTTTTACTATAGGAAACAAAACAAAACAATTAAAACCAAGAAAATGCCAGCATGAATTTATCCTATATTCCTATAACATAGCTCCACATATTAGAAGGTGTGCTATATTACCCTCAGTAGGTGCTCTCAGAAATAATTAAACTTTATTTCTATGGAGGACAAAGATCAAGTGGTAGGAAGCATCCTTGCCTATACAATTGAACAGTTTCAATTTTATATCAAGAAAAAAAAAAAGGTTCATGTTGGCTAAGTATGGTGGCATATGCCTTTAATCCCAGCACTCAGGAGGCAGAGGCAGGTGGATCTCTGTGAGTTTGAGGCCTGCTTCATCTACAGAGAGTTCCAGGGATGAATACAGAACACATAACAAAAAAGGCTAGAGAGAAAAGTTAGGATAATAAACTAAAATGTTGCCAGTAATCATGACTCAAGAAAGTTTGTTTTAACTAATAGATACTTTCAGAACTTATCAGTGTTTCTCTTCCAAAATACATTAAGAAACAAAATAAACTGATTTAGTTATTTTTAGTTTTTTTGAGACAAGGTCTCATTATTGCCTTGGCTGGCCTGGAACCTACTATATAGGCCAGGGTGATCTCAAGGTCATAGAGATCTGCTGGCCTCTGCCTTGTGCTGGTATTAAAGGCATGCACCACCACATCACACCAAAACATTTTAATAAAAGTGTAAGTATACATGCGAAGTCTCTTGGTGATTTTCTTATACTACGAAATTACTATTTGTATTCACTAATAAAGTATCAACGAAAACCCATTGTTTACTAACTCAAGAAGTCCTAAGTTCTATTGAGAAAACTGTATTCAAGTCATTAGGTTACAATACTTAAACCAACTAGGATATAAACTGGCAGCTCCAGCAGCTCTGTTTTGTAATTCCTTCCATTGGTACAAGTGACCTCATTTAAAGTAAGAGGAATCCTATGCATTTTATTACTACATTCTCATAAAGGGTATTTTATAAATTAGGTACTCTACAGTGAATTTAGGTAATATCTGCCAACATCTGAAATCTTCAACTACTTAAACTTGACATTAGGAAATTCATATTTTCTCTATACAGTGATGCCCTGCTTCAAAAAAACAAAACAAACAAACGAAAATTAGCTCAATTGACTCACTACAGTCAGTATTCTTTTCTGTACCATAGTTTTCAACTTGAAGGTCTGAAAATACATAATTGCCATCAATATAACTCATTGGTTTTTTTTAACTACTGAAAAGTATTGTCTTAATCCAGGCATGCTGGCCCATACTTGTAATCTAAACTAGAGATTAACAGTCCTCCTTGGTAAGTAGAAGCTAGAGGAGCCCAAGTTTCAGATGAGACTTGGTCTCAAAGGAAAAAAAAAAAAAAGAAAACTAAAACCAAACTAACAACAAAATAACAAAAACAAACAAACAAACAAACAAACAAACAAAAAAGGTTATGGACTCATGTAGTCCAGGCTGGCCCAAACTCACTAAGTAGGTATGGGAACTCACTATGTAGGTATGGCTTGCCTTAACTCCTAATCTACCTTCCAAGCACTGACACTACATCAGTAAAATCAACTTCTTTTCAACTATTTTTTCTTGTGAAATATGCTAATAATAAATGTATTCTTTGGAGCTATAATAAATTTACCTACATGTGGTTCATTACAAAAAAACAAAAACAAACAAAAAAAAACAAACCAAAACAAAAATCTGTATGTCACAGAGCTTTTCTTTAGATTTCTTTTTTCTTTCTTTCTTTTTTTTTTTTTTTTTTTTGGTTTTTTGAGACAGGGTTTCTCTGTGTAGCTCAGGCTAACTCAGTAGACCAGGCTGGCCTCGAACTCAGAAATCCGCCTGCCTCTGCCTCCCAAGTGCTGGGATTAAAGGCATGCGCCACCACCGCCCAGTTTAGATTTCATCCTTAAAGCAGAAAACAGGTTTTGCACTTACATACAGAAGTAGTAGCAGCAATCAATCTTGTATTTGAGACGACACCAAATTCCTAGAGAAAAGTGAACGAGATCAAGTACTTAGTAATCCAAAAACTTTAAAGATATCTGAGCTCTGTGCCAAACATATTTCCAAGCTCTTCTCATGTTTTCAGTCTATTACCTTTTCTTAAATTTTCAATAATTTGGGTTGGCAATATTGCTCAGTGGCATATTGCTGGCCTACCAAGAATGTACAAGACCCTGTGTTCAATCCTTAGCACAATTAATCATCCAACCAATCAGTCAATGTACAAACATCAACCTTTCTAAAAGAATGAAAGTTATAATGGAATGTAAGGCTTCTTAGGGGCTGGAGAAATGGCTCAGTGGTTAAGAGCACTGGCTGCTTTTCCAGAGGTCCTGAGTTCAATTCCCAGCAACCACATAGGATCTGATGCCCTCTTCTGGCATGCAGGTGTACATGTAGATAAATTAAAAAAAAAAAAGGCTTCTTAGGTAAGTTATCATTTTCCTTTGCAACCTTATACACTACCACTATAAAATAACAAGAATTTATCATGTAATATATTTTAAATATACTCTTATTTAATTTCAGATAAACCACTTAAGATTTCCAAACTATGCCGGGCGGTGGTGGTGCACACCTTTACAGAGTGAGTTCCTGGACAGCCAGGGCTACACAGAGAAACCCTGTCTCGAGAAAAAAAAAAAAAAAAAAACTATTCAAGTGCCTTCTATTAAAAATATGTAATCTATAACTTTATGTGTGTGAACATATATTTATATTTAAATTTAAACTTCAAAACCTAGTAAGTAAAACTAAAAACTCAAAACTGGAGACAGTATGATTTTGTACACAATTTTATTCAATTAGACAAAACAGAAAGATGTGGTTATAGTTAAGAGTTAAAATGCAACATACTGAGAGAGTAAATGCAAAAGCTACCTGGAATTGATATCTGATGGCAAAGGGAAAAATCAAGGTTTCCAATGGAGTGACACTGGTCATATCAACACACTCTAAAGCTGCCCCTAGGCCCAGGAGTAGTTGGACAACACAAAATTAACTCCATGGTTTTTGCTTTTGTCCTTGCCTTTTTTTTTTTTTTTTTTGCAGGCTTTTTTGCTTCTTACTGGCTTTGTTTGTTTTGATATTTGTCTTATTTTTTTTGTTTTGTTTTACATTTTGCTTTGTTTGAGACAAAGAAAATGAACACTAAGTTGGGTGAGTAGGGAAGAGGATCTGGGAGATGCTGGAGAGGGGAGAAAAATGATCAAAATACATTGCGAAAAACTAATTCAACAACCAAAATTGAAAATTTACCTCACCTACAAGACCTCTTTATTCAAAAAGACATTCTACATACATCTGGTCCTAAGGACTGAAACCAGGCCTTATGGAAACTTGGCAAACACTCTATAACTGACTTCTACAACTAGATTTAATCAAACTTTATCTTAAGAAACCATGGACAGAGTCAACTTAGGTTCCTAGAAAGAGTTTTAGTATTTCTAATATAGTCACTTCTGCTTACTAGATAACAAAGATGTCATGGATGCTTCTAAAATAAAAATGAACACAAAAGAAATTCAAACTTATTGGTTAAAGTCATATTCAATTCACATTGATACAATTACTCTAAAGACATTACCTAAGAACAAAAACAATAGACTAGGGATTATGTGGATTAGTTAAGAAAAAAGCCAGTTCTCAGAATCTATGCTATTTGGGTTAAGCTGAAAGTGAAACTTTCTCAGTAATAACTGAAAACAGTAAGTTTAGCAGAAACGCAGCTCCTGGTCTAAGTCCTTATCTGTCTTCTCTCTTACCTACTTTTCCTGCTCTCATTGTCCACACTTTTCCTTACTAGAGTCTACAAAGTCTTTCCTAGTCTTTCACTCCCCCACAATGGCTTGTTACCAGAGAAGACTGGTGTAAATAAAAAGCATACGATATGGGCGAGGAGTAAAAACATTCTCAGGCTATAGTAGGCAAGCTGTACTACTTAACACAACTTAGCACCAAACAATGTCTTGTTTGTTTGAAGACAGGGTCTTACTACATAGTTCTGGCTGTCTTGGAACTCAGAATTCACTATGTGGTTCAAGCTGGCCTTGAATACACAGAGACCCACCTGCCTTGGGCTTCCAGGTGCACTGCCACATTCAACCAAATAGTCTTTTTTTGTTTTGTTTTGTTTTTTGAGACAGGGTTTCTCTGTGTAACCCTGGCTGTCCTGGAACTCACTCTGTAGACCAGGCTGTCCTCGAACTCAGAAATCTGCCTGCCTCTGCCTCCCAAGTGCTGGGATTAAAGGCGTGCGCCACCATTGCCCGGCCCAAATAGTCTTTTAAAGATTAAAAAAAAAAAAAAAGCAGTTAAGTTATAAGATGAAGATCTAGACTATTAGACTATTAGGACCCACTGCCTTAGTTTCCTCATTTATAAAATGAGGATTGTAAGTGTTACAGCTCTCAGGGGAAAGGTTTCCTCTATGAAAGTATTGCAGCAGAAGGAAGAGTTCTCTCATGGACCTGTTAAAGCTCTGAGGGCAATGGTTTCCCCAGTGTTGCATCTCTGAAGAAAAGGCATCCTTCTAGTCAGGAGTCAAGGAATACTGCACAACAAACTTCACACAAGAGATTTGTTGATTAGGAAAAGAGTTGTTTGCAACTCTGCCTTGGGGAGGAGCAGCAGAGAACTGAGAAAGCAGGCTTTATTTGAGAAGTGGGGGCAGGGTTGTTCTCCAGGGTAGCATGGGATTGATGCGATTTTTGTGGCCTGATCTTGGGGCAAGCTCAGGTATGGCAGGATTCTTTTCCTTGGCCTTAGTTTCTTGCTTGGGCTCAAGTCAAGGTCAGGGTGTCCTTTCCTGGTCTCATGGTCAAGCCAGGGTCAGGGTGTTTTATCCTTGGCCCTTTACCCTACATGGATACTACTGTTTTATACTTCACAGTTATAGGATTGAATTAGTACTTGTAAAGAGTCTCATTAACATCTGATACACACTGACATATTTATTTTAAAAAATAAATATTTGTAAGATGTCTATATTAGTTCATATAAACTACCACCTATGATTATCCATGCAAAAGCAATATACATACACACACATATATATGTATGAATATATAAAAGATTAACCAGACATAGTGATACTTTGATGAAGAACATAAAATTGTTTTATACCTCTACTTTGGATGCCAGAAACACACATGTAGGAGCCATTAATACAGGATCTATACTTTTCAGAGAATACCTAAAATAAGATTAGACAAGAGTTAAATGATGACTGTTTAGAAAACGCACTGGGGTGGGGAGTCATAATTCTATAGGAAACAAGTGATTTACTTATATATTGTACATGTAAATTAGAAAAGAATTTCAATCAGGCACTAATAAAATAAAACAACCATACCTAGCATAAAATCTCTTGAAATAGACTGTAGCAGTAGCAATAACTTGTTGTCTTAATTTAAGATGTTCACCTAATGCTTGGATAACTGAAAAAGAATAAAATTTAAATGTAATATCTGTCATCAGTATAATAACACTAATAACATTAATTTTTTTATCAGTGATTTCTGTATGTTGCAATCATGATCATTCACACCTAAGCACACACTGACACCCTCTGAACCTCAGTAGTCTAAGACTTGCAAATGCAGCAATATTCATAAACAAGAAAAGAAACTTCCTACAATTTATCCCTGCAATAAGCAGGTTGAATATCAAATATTCTTAATTTACTACATATTTTAATGCTTTTCATAGTATCTATAAAAGTAGCTTTAAAAATTAAGATATTTTTATTTACCAAGAAATCCAAAGTTAATCTTTGATAGAAGAAAAAGGTAGGTTTGCAATGAGTAACAGACTTAAAGACTAGGTGACAGGATGGGAGTGATAGCTCAGGAGTTGAGAACACTACCTACTCTTGCGTAAGACCTGTGTTCCATTCCCAACACCCACATGGTGGCTCATAACCATCTGTAACTCCAGTCCCAGGGGATCCAAACCTCCTCAGCATCAGGCACAGCATATAATGAACAGATATAATGAAAATACTCATACACATAAAATAAATAAATAAAATTAAACAAATACAAACAAACAAAAACAGGTAACAAAGCTATCCCAGACACAGTAAAGGTCTCTTGACTAAATTTCCATCTTGCTAATGCAAAGTTATAAGGTAAAATGACAACGATAGGATGTTAATTTAAAGAATCATTTATTTTTAAAGTTATTTTGCTTAGGTCAACCTTAGAAATGGGCCTCACTCGAAATGCCTGAGATTAGTCAACACTGTGCTTATAATACATAAGGTGCAAAAAGTGTTACCCAGAACATTGAAATGATAAGTGTATAAGTAGAAGTACTAACTATAGACTGTAACAATTCATTGAAATTACTATACAAAATAGTGACCAACTATACTATACTACTTCAACCAATGTAAAAGTTTACCATTTGTAAAAAATATCTGTAATTTCCAATACTCCTCTTCTGAGAGAAACTTTAGGTCTTTCTGGCGCTCTTTCAACAGATCTTGTTTATCCAAAATCCACTGCAAACTAGAACAAGTAAAGATGTTAAAATGCGGTATAGAAAGCCAACAAGCAGGAATTGGGGGAGGAGTTGTTTGAGGTGGGGTACTGGGAAGAGAGAAGGCTGATACTGGGATATTAAGTCAATAAATAAGTTAATAGAAAAAAAAGCCCACAAACAGAAGCATCTAAACACTAAGATTTAATAAGTTGATCATAAGTTGATCTAAGAGGTTCCTTTCTCTCCCCACCCCCCTTCTTCTTTCTCTGTGTAGCCCTGGCTATCCTGGAACACTGTCTGTAGATCAGAATAGCCTCAATCTCACAGAGATTGGCCCCTCCCCATTGCCACCAAGTTCTGGGATTAAAGGCATGCAGCACTGCACCCAGCTTCTTTTTTTGGCGGTACATCCTTAGAACACTGGTAAAAGACAGTGTCTCGCTGGGAATGCAGCTGAGGTAGGTAGACCACTAGCCTACCTCTGAAACTTCAGCATTAACTTTTCAGAACAGGTCTCTAAAATATTGAGTAAATTATGTTCAACAATGAAATACTTGAGTTCTTCAATACATGCTCATCTATTTCAAGTAAATTCAGCCTGGAGCAAATTTTACATTTTTCTAATTTAATCTCTTCAATCAGTGTTTTCATCATCACCCCCAAGTTTCTCAGTCTTGTTGGACCAATGGAATCCCTTTGGTTTTTGATGCTATTTGTGATTGCTTTGCTGACTATCTTCATATAATTCTGTGTCAATCAGTTTGACTCCCATTCTGTCTGGTCTATAAACACGGATGCTGTGAACGCCATTTTAAACTCTCAGGTAAGTTATTCATCATATTTCTCTAGCTTTTCAGTAGTTCACTGGCAGCCTCAGCAAGACCATTTGACGAAGAAACAGGAGAACTTGAGGGTAAAAAAAAATCTCTTGATGGTTTCAAAGATTCTCTATCTCTTTCTAGATTTCCTTCATAGTGTCATGTGTACAAAGCACCAGAACATAGGTTCTCAGACCTTCTAGAGTAAGGCCCATCCGCAAAGATAGACTCTTGCTATATCCAAAGATTTACTACTGTCTGTCTTAGTATTACGTCACTGAGGCAGACAATCAAGGCATTATCTGAGTACCAGGATTAAGTATGGGCCTAAGAGGAAAAAGAGCCAACCCAATTCATAGAATTAAAATTTTGTTATTCTCTTCCCACTAAAATTTAATTAAACTAGATGTCGTTATCAAGTCCTGTTCAGTTTTTATGTATTCAGTGGAAAGCCTGCTCAATGCTTAGCCTAATCACACAACTAAATTCCTGCATGTTTAACCAAATGTATTTAGAGGGAATTGTCTTTAACATTACTTTAGCCTTTCCATGGTCACTGAAAGACACTAAAATTTCGTCATTTAAGTGGTTAAAGGAAGAGGACAAAATCTGGAAAATACACACCTTTAAAGCAAAATATAAGACACTGGCTAATGAATGAAAATAGATATTATTTTAAGAGTCCCCATGCTCTCAAATTCTAGGGGCATAAAAGTCAATCTAGGAGCCGGCAAGTGGTGGCTCATGCCTTTAATTCCAGCACTCAAAGGCAGAGGCAGTCGGATCTCAGTAAATTGGAGGCCAGCCTGGTTTATAGTGAGATCTAGGACAGCCAAGGCTTAACCCAGAGAAACCCTGCCTCCGGGGGTGGGAGTGGGGATAGGGTTGGGGGTGTGGTATGTATAGATCTAGGCATAAAACTGGGCCAGGAAGCAGAAGACAGAAACAAGCACGACTCATTCCTCTCCTCTAAGTAAATATTAAATCTACAATAAGGCAAATGACAAGAGATTATAATATCACTGCTATGAACAAAACTAGCAAAAGCAAACCATATCCGTCGGAAACAGGCAACCTCACAGAACTACAGTGGGTCACTTTCCTTTGCCTGTGCCCACATCATCCCACCAATCAAACCCCCAAATCTGAAATGAAACTGCCTCAGTCTCCCTTCACGGAGACAGGACCCCTTACCTCATACCCACCCATCCCTCGATCTCACCTCCCCTTAGCTCCCGAAATCCCGCTGGGTGAAGGGGGTTGGGGAGAGGCTGGCAAACAAGTGTATTATGCTTCGGATCCCCGGCTTCTCAGGGAGGGGTCACCCCCAGCGGCCAGGATGGAAGCCCCGAGGGAATGGCAGGCCCAATCCTTCCGTGCCCCAGACCCGGTCCCAAGCGAGAAAATGGAAGCTCACTTACTAGTGGGAGCTCTGCCAGAAGTTCCCTGCCATGGAATACTGCTTGCCCTGATACAAAAGCACCAGCCGGCAAAGCGGCCCGCGGAGCGACCATAGACACAGTCCAGGCGACTGTGCTCCTCAATCAGACTGGCTGGACTGAACTCCACGGCAACCGCAGCCAGAGGAAGAGAACAGCACCCTCGTCGCCTTGACGCCGGTCGACAACACTGAGCGCCGTACACCGGTTCCGGCTGACAAAAGTTCCGGCCCGCCCTAGTAGCGGAGGAAGCAAGCAAACATCAGACTTCCAATGGGCGTGTTGAGGCGGGTCCCCGGAAGTAGAGTAAACACAGGCGGAGGCTCCTGGTGGTGACAGGCTCTCCCGGAGGTCTCCTGCAAGTTAATCTCTTAGAGTGTCCAGAGCCTGGTTTTCTGGTCTGGTGCGGTTGTCCTTTGGGTCCATTTAGGGATCTTGTTAATCCACCTTGTAGGCCTTCAAAAATAGCTTACTGGCATTGTATGCCTATTCTTTTCCTAGGATGGAAAGGAGAAATAAATGAAAGCAATTTTGGCCTTAAGATCTAAGTGCTCTTAGTGAAGTTCCTGCCGGCATTAAGCCTAAGGAGTTAGTGGATTTTAGTATGGCAAGTGTAGACTTTTTAGAGTAGCAATCTTTTTATGTCAGAGCCGGCTACTCGTATACCTAAAAAACATGAGCATATGAATGAATGTACATCTAGCTGCACTTACATTTGTTTTCACTCTGTTCCACATCTCAACTGGACTCCACTCATGAAGGAAAAACATCTGCATTATCTGCCTCAGAATTCTTGAGTAATTTTCAGATGTGTCCAATCATTTAAAGACGTTTTAAATTTAAAATAAAAAAAAATGTAGATAGATTCTCATCTGTCCTAGGCTGACCCAAAACAATGTAGTTGAGGATGTGAATACTCTTACCTTGCAGGTGTTTATAGTGCTGAGTATTACCCAGAGCTTCTGGGACACTAGCAAGTACTTGACCGATTGAGCTACATCCCTTTACCCCTTCTTCCTCATCCCTTAGACTGGGTCTCAGCATGAAGCAAGGACTGGTCTGATCCTAATGTTCCTGTCTCAGCTACCCAAGTACAGTACTAAATACAATGTTACAAAGATAACAGAAACATTTAAATATTTTATTTTGTAAAACTAAATTATTGCATTTTTGCCGCATATCAATTTGGAGCTATGATGTACATTCACTTTTAATTTTTTTTTGTTTTGTTTTGTTTTTTTGTTTTTCGAGACAGGGTTTCTCTGTGTAGCCCTGGCTGTCCTGGAACTCACTCTGTAGACCAGGCTGGCCTCGAACTCAGAAATCCACCTGCCTCTGCCTCCCAAGTGCTGGGATTAAAAGCGTGGGTCACCACCGCCCGGCCCCACTTTTAAATTCTACCCACGTAGGCACACACATAATTAACCTGTGAAATACATTTATTCTTGAATTTGGATAAGCTAGACTAGGCTTCACTGTTATAGCATCTCCCAATTCTCACCTCAAATACCCCCAACTTAGCTTGAAAATTCGTCTCATTCTCAAGGTGTTCCCTAAAGCTAGCTACTTCTTCTTGGTTGCCCTCTATATCTTCAGAGAACTAGTGGGTTTCTATCTCCCACCTATTCATTTCAGGGTTCCTTGCTTCCAAGATCAAAATCTTTCTGGATAGAGCCTATAAGACTCAAGCTAGCTCTTTATTAACTAGTATTAAGAGTCTTGAAATAGAAACGACACAATCAATTTTCATGACCTACCAACCAGAATACCCCCAAATGACTCCAACTTAATCGCCAAGGTATCCGAAAAATGTTGAGGAGCATGTAATACATTTGTGAACATTACTGTCTGTTTCAGTGCAGATCATATTTTTTCAAAAAAGTGTTTTAAAGACACAATCATCACCCAAGCCATGGGGTGCATCATAGAAATTTGGAATTTCTTTAATTTTCTCTTTGCTTTTTTCCTTTTGTTTTGTTAGCCTTGCATAAAGATTCTGTAACAAACTGCTATTATGAATGTTTTATGTGCTTCTGTGACAACTTTCTTTTTTTCTGTTTTAGACAGTATCCCACCATGTAGCTCTGGCTGTCCTCAAAATCACAAAGATCTGCCTGTCTCTTTCTTCTGAGTGCTGGGATTAAAATGTGACCCACTACACTCAGCTCCTATAACACCTTAAAAATGGAGCAGTGTTAACACACATCTTTAATCCCAGCATGCAGGAGGCAGAAGCAGGCAGATCTCTTGAGTTTGAGGCTAGCCTGGTCTACAGAATGAGTTATGAGAATAGCCAAAGCTACACAGAGAAACTCTATCTTGGAGGAGGGGATTACCATCCCAGGGTAGCCTGGAACTCACTGTGAACTCAAGTGTTCTGATTTGGTTTTCTGTTGCTGTGATAAAACACTGACAAATGCAACTTGGGGAAGTAAAGGGTTTGTTTCACCTTACTGGTCCATCGTCGAGGGAGGTCACGGTGGGAATCTGCTTCAAAACTGAAGCAGAGACCATGGAGAAAAGCTTCTTAATTCACCCTGGCTTACTAGCTTCCTTTCTTATGTATTTCTGGCTCACCTGTTCAGGGTTGGGACTGCCCACAGTGGGCTGGGCCCTCCTACATCAATTAGCAATCAAAATGCCTCACAGATATGCCCACAGGCCAGTCTGATGGAGGTAATTACTCGACTGAGTCCTCTTTGAAGGGACATATAGGTTTGTGTCAAGTTGACTTTGATACCATTAATGATGCTACCTACCTTTCTTTCTTTCTTTCTTTCTTTCTTTCTTTCTTTCTTTCTTTCTTTCTTTCTTTTTTTTAGGTTTTTGAGACAGGGTTTCTCTGTGTAGCCCTGGCTGTCCTGGAACTCACTCTGTAGACCAGGCTACCCTCGAACTCAGAAATCCACCTGCCTCTGCCTCCCAAGCGCTGGGATTAAAGGCGTGCGCCAGCACTGCCCGGCATGATGCTACTTTTCTGATACTCCTACCTGCACCTACTAACTGCTCAGATTTCAGGTGTAGTGCTGTGCAGAGCCTCTTTCTTCTACATACTCCTATTAAATTATGCGTTATACACGTATATCATTATCCGAGGACCTAATGTCTACTTTATGTCTGCACCTATACGCTTTCCCACAAACCAGTTTCTTCATCTTTGTAACACATAATAATAGGCATAGCAATACTGATACTTGTGGGGTTTGGGGCTCTTTTTAAGATGTGTATGTGTAGAGAAAAGGTCATTAGATTCCCAGAGCTGGAGTTAGAGGCAGCCATGAGCTTCTCAAGCAGGTAATAAGATGATAAGCACTCAGGCCTTCAGGAAGATCAGTGAGTGCTCTTAACCACTGAGCCATATCTTCAGCCCATATACTTATATTTGAATCAAACTCTCACACACTTAGGGGAAAGTGCTTTAAAATCATAACATGGATACAAAATCAGGTTGAAATGTGAATGCAAAACCAAACTGTAACACATTATTAGAGACATTATGTAGCACCATTCAGGTGCTTTTCTTCTGTGAACACTTTTACAAATTACCACATGGAATTTTTTTTTGTTTATATTCTGATTTCTGCTTCCAGTCCCCAACACCAAACATGCAGCACTTTCCAGTGCTTATAGAGGGGCCATGTAAATTAAGTGCCTAAAGCGGAGGTCTCCTGAGCGCTGCAGGAAATTAACTTTGAGTGCTCACCCTCCCCCCACCCCCCCTCTTTCTCTCTCCAACCCCCTCTTACAGTATCAAGGTGGCCTCAAACTCATAGAGAGCCTGCCTTTGCCCTCCCTGAGTACTGGAGTTAAAGCCACTCCCTGCCCACTGCATCCTCCCCCCTTAATTTCCCTATTTTCAGAGGTTTTATTTTATTTATTTTATTTTAGTGACCAGTATGTTTTTGCTTTGTTTTTGTTCTTCAAGACAGGGTTTCTTTGTGTATCTCTGGATGTTCTGGAACTTACTTTGTAGACCAGGCTGGCCTCAAACTCTGAGATACAACTTCCTCTGTCACCACCACCCAGCAGTGGCCTACTACTGATTTTAATTAGGATTGCCTACATAAACATGGGAAGAAGGTTAATTAACTGGAACTTGGGCAACGTAGCCATTGGTAAACAACTGAGGAAAATATCTTTGCCTCCGCCCAGAAAAACTAACTGCTATTAACTCTGCAGGAAGGGTGGCGAATCATGAGCCCCTCCCCTACCCATGATGGAGCAGTCTGTCCCAGGAGGTTCTGTGGAATGGGCATGTCCAGAAGACTATGCTCTCCACTATCCCGTTTTTTACATTCTTTCAACTCTTCTGCAATGTTTCTTGGGCTTTGGAAGGTTAGGTCTCAAACTCAGGACAAAGGATTAACTGAAGGGCCTGTTTAACATATCAAAGTCCCCCTGACCTCCAGTCTTCCTCAGCTCCTACCGGTTACCATATCAGTTATAGGGTCATCCTGGCTGGGGTGCCCTGCCTCCTTGTCCCAAACTCCGAAGGCCAGAGAGTGGACTGAGATTTCCTTCCCCAGCCTCTGATCCCTATGTAACTCAGTCAGTTTTTAGCTACTGTGGTCTCTTGGTTCCAGCTCTTCCGGCCTCTTGGCTTCTGGCTCTTCCTTCTCCTCTCCCACATGGCTCTGTTCAGCCCACGAGCCATGTTCACTCTGGATTTTCCCAGATGCCTCTGCCTCTGCCCTCCCTCATAGCTACAATAAACCTACCCTCAACCATAGTGAGGAGTGTCGTGTCCTCAATTCATTTTCTCATTCAGGAAGGGGTGCCATTCAACAACTTTTTTTTTTTTGGCACCTTGGCCAATTAGATATGTCTCTGCAGTAACTTTTGTCCACTGCAAAATGGCCAGTGCTGAAAGCAGCACTGATCTCCAGGCATGGACATAAATATTTAGACGGTAGTTTGATGGGAACAACATGCCCAGTTAAGTTAATTTTACTTAAGGACACCTATGTTGGAACAGAATGATTTATAAAAGCCTTTTAAATGCCCAGATAAAGAAAAGAAAAAAGAAAGAAAGAAAAAACAAAAGCATATAGGTATTAAGTTTCAAACCTCGGACAAATGGGCAAGATGCCTATTTAACAGGCTCTTTAAGCATCCCTGAGTTTCTACCTATTACCAGGTTTGACTGACATACTCCACCCTCTGCCTTAGACTCTCAAGTCTTGGGGCTGGGCTCCCCTTCCCCCACAGGCTCTTCCCTATAAAATCCCGACATTTTGGTTACCTCCTTTGTAC